AAAAAAGTATTCCAGTTGTGGTCGGAATGAAAAAAAAATATGGTAATAATCATGGGATGTAGAAAGGGAGACGAATCGAAAAAAAATAGCTTCCCCCATAGGAAAATATAAATCTCTTAAAGCCAAAAGGCATCATAAGATGAGATGTTCGAGTACTGGCTGAGCGCCACGTTCCGTTTTTTTTCGGCCCACACTAAATCCGTTCAAGACGCGAACGATATGTTTCGTCATTGATTGAGCTTGAGCTTGAGCTTGAAACTGAATAAAAACACGGTTGATGTCAAACCGCATGCAACTTGACTTTTCAATGATACGGTGTGCATGAAATATGCTAGAACCCTGTTGGGTTATTCCATGGGTTATTGAAACTTAACTGGGATATTATATATTATACAAGGTTCTGTGACTTGGTCGTGTTGTGTGATTTAGATGTAGATGAAATGAAATGTTCTATTAACACTAGACATGTTGGCCAGGAAAAACAAGGTTATGGAGAAGGCGTGAACAAAATAAATTGAGAGGAAATCCGAGAGACTGTCGAGTGTGACCCAGCATTGTTTTATTTTGAGACTGGATTTTTAAGCTCCACAAAAACATAAACAGTGATTCATTGCATTATATTTTCTATTTTTCAAACGTGAGTGATAAATAAAAATAGTAGTGAATTGACGGCACTGTAAGCTCCACCCACATAAACAAAATGAGCAAAAGGGATTCACTGTGCTGGTTGGTTTATGCTTTATTTCCGGCTCGTAGCGAGGGCGATTATTTTTATTGTGATTTAATTTGACACTAAGAACCACAACATGACGTTCACATACAATTTCGTATAGAAATGAGTACGGACAGCGTACATTCTGTGAAATTGCTCAGCCTAGTTTTGCCGTGAATGCTTTTCGGGCTAAATTGATATATATCCGATAAAAATACACTTTTACACATTCTTGTGTTTGACTAGAGCATGGAGCTAGAATGACTAGAGTGGCATTGTTTGAAATTCATTTTGATAACCTGTTGCTGCGAATGAAATCTTGAGCAGTTTAACAATTCTTATTTTCTCAATCTAAATCTAAAATAGCGCGGGTTGGAGAGTTTGTTATATGTGTCTGAGTATTAAAATTGAAATTGAAAAATAAAAAAATTGTCACGGCGGCTGTGAGAGGTTTGTACTGTGGGTTGGTAACGCAAGTGAACTGGAGAGTAACAGTGACATAGGTGGAGCATAGAAATAGAATGCTATTTGGAGTGTGTGTTATTTATATACTCTTTATTAGAACACAGAAAATACAATTTGTATTTTGGTCACGGCAAAAACAACTAACCGAGGTTAGGGGAAAACGCCGTGATAAGTTTACTATTTTGTATGCGATGTGGGTTCTGGGTGGCACTATTTGAGATCGAACGTGGAATGCTCAATACTGTGGGGTTGCAATTAAATGGCCGGACGGAGGGGGCGGGGGCTTTTTAGACAATTTGAATGGTGAGAAACAAAGCGAAGCATTTAGAAGCTATACGGAGAAGAATTTACTTCTAAATCACACAACACGACCAAGTCACAGAACCTTGTAAAATTTATTATATCACAGTTAAGTTTTAATAACCCAACAGGGTTCTAGCATATTTCACACACACCGTAATGGCATTACTATTGCGTAAACATACATCTTTATTGTAACTTATCGGTCCACTAGTATTTTCAAATACTCCAGGAAACAACATAATGTGTTTTTATTCAGTTTCAAGCTCAAACAATAACGAAACATATCGTTCGAGTCTTGAACGGATTTAGTGTGGGTCGACAAAAACGGAACGTGGCGCTAGCCAGTACTCGAACATCTCATCTTATGTTGCTTTTGGCTTTAGGAGATTTATATTTTCCTATGGGGGAAGCGATTTTTTTTTGATTCGTCTCCGCTACTACATTCCATGATTATTACCATATGTTTGTTTCATTCCGACCACAAACTGGAATACTTTTTTTTTTTCTGACTATCGACCACCCAATCTGCGTTGCTTCAAGTTCGCTTTGTTTCTCGGGAGTCGCCCTAGTTATTTTCTGAAGACGCTGTTCTTTCACACCTCATAAACACTTATCGCCTATAGTTGAGAAGTATAGTTGTGTTTCGGCTTGTGAATGGAAACCAATGGATTGTGATTACAATCCCAAGCGAAAGTCTGATGTTGATTTGTTTTTAAATGTTTTTACCTTTTAAAAACACATAGAACTCATCTCTCCACAGTACAGTGCTAGTAGTAGATTTCAGTTGATCTGAACTGTATTTAAATGTCACGCGTAAGTTTGATTTTCGCGTACATTTCATTTGTTCTAAAATTTAAATGCCACGCGTAAGTCTGATTTACGCGTACGCGTAAGTCTGATTTACGCGTACGCGTAAGTCTGATTTACGCATACGCGTAAGTCTGATTTACGCGTACAATCCATTTGTTCTCCAATGTAAATACCACGCGTAAGTCTGATTTGCGCGAACGCGTAACTGCCGTATAGACAAAAATGCGCCTCACCTTTTGCACGCGCAACTACCCTCTAGAGGCACCCTTACATACCTCAGATATCAGAGAGGTAAAATATTTTCCAGGAGGGATATAGTCCAGCTACAGTAAACAACAGCAATTGTTATTCACACTCAAACAATGACAATTCATCAAAACAAATAAGTTTCTTTTGTTTTACCTCGTAAAGTAATACTCTGTAACACATGTTGCTACTATGAACTGCTGACATGCTAAGATAAATTCACTTGTCCAAAACAATCCAACAAGATGATACCACCAAAAATATTTCACCATTTCAGGATCTTCGTACGACACAAACCCTGTCTCTGGGTGTCTCTTTGGCTTGCCTATACAAAAAACATAGTGCAACTATTATAGCCTTGCCCATTATGATTCTATATACTATAATCAGACCAATAAGCATGCACAAGAGTTTTGATAGCAGATACATGTGAACGTCAGTTGTACCTTCTACCACATCCACCCAATAAGCATGCACAAGAGTTTTGATAGCAGATACATGTGAATATCAGTTGTACCTTCTACCACATCCACCCAATAAGCATGCACAAGAGTTTTGATAGCAGATACATGTGAACATCAGTTAAAAACTAGAAAATATAATGCAATGAATCACTGCTTCTCATGTTTTTGTGGAGCTTTTAGTCACCGTTGTTGATGTGGGTGAGGGCGACTTCATTTGAATAATAAACTCCGCCTGTGCCTGTTTATATACCATGTCGGTTACTGTTGTTTTACATGGAACGTTCAGTGCAGTGTGAGATTCGGTATTTTTTATATGATGTTCACGGTAAATTGAACAAAATGCACACTTTTTAGGTTGAACAGATTGAATTACTAGACAGCGGATGTGATGCAACTGGTCGGATGGTCGATGTATTCAGTGTGAATATTGGAGTTGGGACCGATTAAATTTCAGGGCTACATAAATCGGTCGGTTCTGACAGTAGGTCGGTTTAATGTCTGCAATAGGCCCCCAGAACTCACTGGGTTGTTGCGCTCGCTGTAGGCCTCTCTAACAAAAACCACTCCCATACACGGCCCTAGGCCCCAAATTGGGGAACCCACTGCCCATTGCCGCAAACGTCTGCCTGAACTTTCCCACCGTGACTTTCCTGTCACTTCCAAGCCACTTTTACACAGTCGGTGTATTGGTGTTAACACACTGCTGACAGAGCCTCACTGACAATTGTTCTTGGCGTGAAAGTACATTACCACTGACAGTTGTTCTTGGCGTGAAATCATACAACATACGTAAAAATAAAATGAACAGCATACCTGGAGGAGAGAGTGTCAAATAAACAAAACGAAATGGCGATGACTCGCTGGCGTGGCAATGAAGCCAAACAAAGCTTTGCTATAAATATTGGAGGATGAATATTGGCATAGAAAGAAAGTTTAACGCTGTCCTACAAGAGCTTTGCGACAGAGTCGCAAAATACCTTTTCTCAGGTCGCAAAGCACCTTTGCTACCACTTTGGCGAGTCGCAACTGCGGTCGCAAGCGCTGTTTTGAGACACCCATACATAAATGATCAAGTAGCAGATCACTGCCCAGGGTGACAATACAAATGATAATTTTGTACCAAATGAATATAATTTCCCACTGCTACAAGACTTGATGAAAATCTTTAAAAAAAAATCTGGAAAGTTTTTGGGAATATTTTTGGTGAAACAGGACAAAAGTTTACATTGGCCAATGAAGTACTTACCAGCAGTTGACATGTAAACTAAGACAACACACCAGTAAGCTAAAAAGAGTATCAGCACAATGAACGTCCACAGTGGTTGAATTAATAACAACGGCATGTGTGATAGCGCTTTACCAGCTTGATGGAATAGTTGTACAGTGAAAGCAATGCGTTTTCTCATCACCAAGATTATCAATAACAAAATAACCTGTTGGAGGAAAAAAGAGAAATTGATAACTACAACAAATACAATGTTCTTGTGCTAAGTATTTTTTTATTTTTGCTAATTAGTGAATGTGCTAAAAAAATTACTACGTTCACGTTACAGGATCTCGGCACGTACCGAAACTTGTAATCCTTTGTGTTTTCAGGGGGATTACAGCAGTTGCGTTCACGTTATTCGGGACCAACTGACTAGGCTCGTGCCGAAATTACGCCCTCATTCGTCATTGTGTGACCCAAACAAGGAAAACCGTGCACATGAAAGAAGAATCGAAAAATTGAACGTGCACATGAAAGAAGAATTGAAAAACAATTATTTTTTCACGTCAATGTAGCATTGCAAGAAAATATAAATATGCGCCGCTGACGATGGTTTGCATTCATTTCATTCGTTACTACAGCATCCTATCATATACTAGTATATCTGCATTTCTGTCATTGTCATTTCATACTATTATGAACCAGCATGTTTTCATAAATTAACCACCGAGGGCATGATTTCGGCTCATGTCGAGCGTTCAGGTAGCAAATCGCGGCATGTGCAGAGTTTCGGTCCCAAGCATCTATCAGGACCGAAATAAAGTTTTTTTCAGCATCGAGTTGTGTGAACGGTCGGGACTGAGTCTCGGCACGTGCCGAGATCTCTAATGTGAACGCCACTAATATCTGAATGCCATTGAATGGTATTTGGTATTGGTAAACATAGCAAGTTGATGTTAGAACAGGTTATGTTGGAGAGTAAAAGACTAACTATAGAGGCTGTACCCAAACATACAGGTCTAATTGATCAATCAGTTATCAAACTTCCATTAAATTTAACATTCTATTGAATTTGCTGCTTTCTATTTTTTTCTGAATTAGTAATCAAATTTGTGATTCAATTTCTTTTCAAATTCTGACAAGAAATGTTGAAAAAAACCTGTATATGCATGTTTTTAATAGAAGCAAAAATGAATACCAAAAACACATTTTCGAGGGGTCTTACAATATGCAGTTAAATCAAAATTACCAATCAAAATTTTACCAGATTTGAATTCAAAATGACCACAATTTGTGGTTAAGACAATATTTGGATATTATAAATTTTTGTAAAAACAATGACAATAAAGTACAATGGCCAAATTTGATTATGTTAAGTATTTTTTTATTTTTGTTGATTAATGAATGTGCTAACTTCAAACCAAGTGAATATTTCACATTTAAAAAAAAAGAATTTAAGTTTTCTTCATAAAACAGCGAATTTTACAACCAATGAATATCTCTGCAACAACAAATCCACTAAAATTTAATCCAATAGTTGTTTTTTACAACAAAAGACAAAATACAAAATTATTTTTAAGATACGTTCATATTTGATGAAATTTTTATTGATCCTACTTTATGAAATTATTATCTTAATACTTACTGTAAATACTGTAGCAATGATTGAATATATTAAAAAAGCTCTGACATTACTCTTCTGGGCATCTACTCTTTGTTCTTCGGGAAAACTGTCAAGAGCTGTTTTTCTTTTGGCATAATTCCACCACAATAAAATCGTGGCAGCTGATGGGAAGAATATTAAAAAATATTTGTCATTCACAAGAATAATGTTATAGCGCCCTTATAACACTATCATAATTAATCTTTTTTTCCTTTTCTGTTCTGCTATACTTAATTCTCATTTATTTATCAAGATTTATTGAAAGTAACTTACAAAGAAGTACATAGGATAGAGTGATCACATTATTTCATAAGCACCTATGCTATGCTTCTAGAAAAAATTCTAAACAAGCACCCTATCGGCTGAGATAGCTCCGCTGTTAGCAATGCACATTTCAATTAAATAACTAAAGACATCATTAGAAAATGAACAATATGTATAGTATCAATGCAGTCGAACTTACAGTTTTTAACAAGAAGTCGAAAATATCACTTTCTATCAAAAATGACAAAAATATTCACCAAAATTAGAGAATTGAAGATATCATCACGAAATGAACAAATCTGAGAAAGGTCTACATGTAGTATCTATATGTGTAATATCAAAGCAATTGAACTTTTGGTTTTTAACAAGAAGTCGAAAATATCACTTTTTACCAAAAATGACAAAAATATTCACCAAAATTAGAGAATTGAAG